AAAAGGAGTAGCCATATTTGATAAAATTAAATAAAATAATATAATACCTAATATAGGCATTAAACTAGTTAATCCTTTATAATAATATAAAATTCTAGAATGAAATCTATCATATAAAATAGCAGCACAAATAAATAAACCTGGAGAAGTAAAACCATGAGCTAAAGATAAAAATATAGATCCAGATATACCTTGATATAAAAAAGAAAATAAACTCATTATTGCTATAGCCATATGCTTATAATATAAAAAAATATTGTATTGGACCATATCTTTATTTACTTATTCGGATTTAAAACCTTTATCCCATGAACTAATTAACTGTTGCCATACTTTATTTAAAATTAAGTTATTATCAGCTAAATGAGCTTTTAGATTTTTTAATTCATAAAATTTAGGTATTAAGTTAATTCTAGTAAATTTACTCGATCTAGAAGGGTTTAGATGAAAATAATTTTTATATAAAGATAGTACTTCTTCTTTTTTATAAATAACCCATCTAAAAGTATTTTTTTTTTTATCATGAGAATAAATTTTACCCCCATATAAAATTACTAAAGGTTTAAAAAGATAATTATATTTTTGACTAATTGAAAAAACTATAGTATAATTCAATTTATTCATATATATACTACCATTACTATCAAAAAATCCAGATAACCAACCAGAATCATATGTCAATGGTAGGGGTTGTATAAATTCAATTTTATATTTTATACATATTTTATTTAATTGATCCAATCTTATTGGATTTCTTATATACCCATTAATACCATTAGTCAGATTAAATATTCCTTCTTTATGATGTAATCTATATCTTACTGCTTTTGCACCAGATTTTAATTTTATTGAACCACCTAATTTTTGTTTTATTAAGTATAAACAATGTTCATCTCTTAAATCCATAGTTATTTCTAAACTTACAGATCCTGTTTTAGCAATATAGAAATAACCATCACCATCTATTAAACCTGCTAACCATTCAAAAAATTTTTTATTGGCTTTATTTTTATTTTTAGTAGAAGTAGTATACATAGAAGTAAAATTTAAATATGAATTAACATAAATTTTAATCCGATTAAAATATTGGTTGAATATATTAGTAAATAACAAACGTATAGCCTCTGAGATTCCCATTAACGTGCTTGGTGTATTACCAGAAATTTTATAATAAAATTTCAGCGCTTTGGTTATCTGCGGATTGTTTAAATATATTATAGAAATTCTAACTAAAACGGAATCTAAAAATAAAATAAGATTGCTAACAATTTTAGTATTCTGAAATATTGAAATCAGGGACATTATATTAATACCTCTTAATTTCTTAAATTCCCCGCATATAGTTTGTTGCGGTAAACATATTATGTTTACTGGGCCAATTTGACCAATAGAACTATAAGCAATAATTTTTTTAAAATCTATTTGTCTTAAAGTTGTAAAAGAAGAATAAATTATACCTAAGACTGATAATGGTAATATTAAAGGTAAAAAATAATAAGAACCTTCTGGAAATAAATTTATAGAATATCTTATAAATCCATAAGTGGCTAATTTTAACATAATCTTTTTTTTTTTCTTGATCTACTACTAAAAAAGTCATAAACCTATTGGTTTTCAAATTAAAAATTATAATTTTTAATTTGGTAGATACTCCATATATTTTATATGGTTGGGACTATATTTTAATAATTAAAACAGTTTTATTTATAAAAATTTTGTAAATGATCTCAATTAAAATAAGTTCTTCTATTATTCATATTAGATTTTATTTTTATAATTTTTTTTATATCATTTTCATTTTTTTTCCTTTGTATATAAAATAATTCTAATACTTTTAATCAATCTTTATAATCTAAATATTTACTACTAAATAAAGCAAATTGATTTAAATAATTTTTTAAAACTAGATTACTATTTAAATTTGTAGTTCTTATTCTATATTGTGGATTTTTAGAAGTAGTATTAGTTTCTTTTACATTACATAATAAAAATTTACTAATTAAAGACATAGTATCAAAATTAGAAATACCATTTAAATCTTTTTGTCTTTGTACTAATTCTAAACTACAAGCAGTTTTTTTTAATTTATTAGTTTCTTTATCAATAGATACTCTAACAGAAAAATGACCATCAGCATCAATAAATCCGGCTAATCAAGCATTACATTGTAAGGGAGTTTTATCCAAACATACTTTAGGAATGTTCAAATTTTTTTTATTAAGTCATTCAATAAGTTTATATAATTGATAAATTTTAGAAGTTCTCATATAACCATTAATTAAAATAACTATTTTTTCTAAACCGTTTTTATCACTTATTCTGTAATGATAACCATTTTTACCTTTAATTTTATATATATTACCAACATTTAAAATTTTTTGTAATGTAGCCATTAAAGGAAAATCTTTATTATGAAAAGTTAGAATAATTTGAGGTGTATTAATATTATTTTTAGGTAAATAAAAACAACCATCACCTTCAATTAAACCTGCTAAATAAGAACCTAAAAATAATATATTATTAGTTAATAAAGTATTTATATTATCAATATTAATTTGTTTATTTATAAAAGTAGAAAAGTATAAATTTTTAATAGGAATTATTAAATTATAACTATAATTTAATTCAAAAGTATATAATTTATATATATAACTGTTAATTATTTTTAGCGTATAGTCTCTGAAGATCCTATGAAATTTATCTTCATACATCATAAAATTTATATTTGAAGATATTTTTTCGATCGATTGTAATCGATCATCAAATATGATATAGTTTCTTACTGATTGTCTTAAAATATAAAAGAGTTTTCAGCATATAGCTAAATTTAGAGCTAGCATTAGTTTACCAGCTAATATAATAGAACCACTTAATGGTGCTTCAGTATGTGCTAAAGGTAATCATTGATGAAAAGGTAATAAAGGTGTTTTAATAGCAAAAGAAATAAAAAATGCTAACCATAAAATAAATTGTCTTGAAGGTAAAAAATATGATGAAGAAATAAAAATATAATCATAAGTACCTGAAAAAGAATATAAAGTTAATATAGCTAATAACATTAATAATGATCCTGCTAATGTCATTAAAAAAAATTGATAAGTAGCATATATTCTAGTTAATTCTTCTTTTTCTTTACCTTTTTTATAACCTTGTCTATTACTACCAAATAAACCAATTAAAAGGAACATAGGTATAAGTGAAGCTTCAAAAAATATATAAAATATTAACATATCTAATATTACAAATACACCTATTAATATAGTTTCTAATAATAATAATGAATTTATAAAATATTTAATATTTTCTTCTACATCTCAACTAGCTAATATTGATATAACTATAATAAATGTTGTTAATAATATAAATAATAATGATATACCATCTACACCAACTGCAATTATATCAGTAAATCTTATTAAAAATTGTGGTTGAATACAACTGTAATCAAATCTATTTCACATTATTATAGATATTATAAAATTTATCATAGCTGTACCTAATCCTATTTTTTTTATTTTTTTATTATCATTTATTTGTAAACTAATTATTACACCTATTATAGGTATTATTAATAATAATATAATCATTTTTTATCTTTTTTATATTTTTTCTTTTACTTTTATTATAATTTCTTACTTTTTTTTATCTTCATAATTTTTCACTCGTTGAAGGATTTGAACCTACAATATACGATTTAGAAGATCGATGCTTTATCCAATTAAGCTAAACGAGTTATTATATTTAATATGTCCATCTTATATAAAAGGCGAATAATGGGAATTGAACCCATATTAACAATGCCACAAATTGTAGTTCTACCTTTAAACTATATTCGCCTTATAAACACTCTATAGGAATTGAACCTATATTAATAATTTCGAAGATTATTACTTTTACCTATTAAGTTAAGAGTGTATATAAATATATAACAGAAAAAAAAATTTTTTAAACCCTTAAAATCAATTTCCAAAATTGATATTTTACCAATTAAATTATTTTTCTTTTATTATTTTTTTTTTTTAATAAATAATAGAATTAATAAGAAAATTATAAATTAATTATCTGTAAAATTTAATATACCTTTACTTAATTCATAAATAAATCCTATAGTTAATACAAGTATAAATATTGTACCTATTCAAAAACCGAATAAAGAAATATTATATAAAACAGAAGCAAAAGGGAATAAAAATATTACTTCTATGTCAAATATTAAAAATAATATTGCGACTAAATAAAATTGTATATTAAATTTTTCTCTTGCTGTACCTATAGTATCCATACCACATTCATAAGGTGATAATTTTGAAAAATCAGGTTTATTTACAGGTATTATAAGATTTATAACTAATAAAGTTGTTAATATAATAGGTGTTAATATTATAAATAATAATAATGTATTCATTTATTTTTATTTTTATAAAAAATTTTCTTTTTAATTTACCATTATTTTTTTTTCGGATAGGCAAGAATTGAACTTACAATCTTCTAATCCCAAATTAGAGGCGTTACCTATTACGCTACTATCCGTTAACGGGTAGAATGGGATTTGAACCCATGGAAGTCATTCAAAACTTCTCTCCGTTTCAAGCGAAGCACCTTAAACCAACTCAGTCATCTACCCTTATAAAAGAATTAATAATTATAAACTAAATTGAGGAAGTAAAGCAGTTTCTGTAGGTAATATAATATTAATTGTACCTCTTAATCGATGATAAGCTACTAATATAGATAAAGCAATTGCTGATTCAGCAGCAGCAATAGATATAATATATAAACCAAATATTTGAGCTAACATATCATCATGAAGAATAGAAAAATAAAGTACTAAAATAGTAACAGCTAATAATAAAATTTCAATTGATATTAATACTAAAAGATAATGTTTTCTATTTAAAATTATACCATATATACCTATTAAAAATAATAATAAAGCTAATTTCATTCGTTTTTTTTATTAATATAGGAAAATTTAATCCTTTTGTTTTTTTTTTTTTCCTCGGAAAAAGAAGGAATCGAACCTTCAAAGATGTTAATTACATCTATAACTTAGCAAGCTATTGCCTTACCATTAGGCTATTTTTCCTTTATAAATTTTATAATCAGCCGTAGCCCTGAATTGAACAGAGATCCGATCATTAACAGTGATTGGCTTTACCATTAAGCTACTACAGCTATTTAAATGCCTTAAGGATGACTCGAACATCCTACTCAGAATTTTCAGTTCCGTACTTTAACCTGTTAAGCTATCAAGGCATAAATTGAGAGTATTGGGATTTGAACCCAAACTATACAAATTAAAAGTTTGATACTCTACCGATTAAGTTATACTCCCAATATTTTTATTTTATATATCAAAATATTTAACTTAATAATTTGATAAGATTAGAGAATGAATTGAACATTCATAATCAGGTTTGCAGCCCGATACTTTACCATTAAGATATCTAATCTTTTTTTTTTTGAAATCGAATGGAATTGAACCATTATTTTTTGCTTATCAAGCAAATACTTTAACCTTTAAGTTACGATTCCTTTATTATTTTGATCTCAGTCCGATTCGAACGAACATAATGGCAGTGAAGGTGCCAGATCCTACCTTTAGATGATGAGATCTTATATATGCGAATGATTGATTCGAACAATCTCTTCAAGGTCATGAGCCTTACGTGCATACCTTTACACTTATTCGCGTTATTTTTTATATATATATATATATCAATCATTAATTAAAACAAAAATTTTTTAGATTATGAGTCTAATGTATTATTTTATACTTATTTATATATATTTTTATTTTGAGGAGAGCAAGATTTGAACTTACATCTTTCCTGTTATGAGCAGTTGGCTTTACCAATTAAGCTATCTCCCCTTTTTTATTTTTGAGAAGACTGGGATTTGAACCCAGAATGGTCGAAACCATCGCCTTTACAGGGCGATTGCAATACCAAAATGCTTTCTTCTCTTTATTACCTACTGAGGGACTTGAACCCTCACACACAAAGTGTAAACAATTTTAAGTCGTTTGAGTCTACCAATTTCTCCAAGTAGGTTTTATATTTAGCCAGATACGGAATTTGAATCCATAATACGTAATTTACAAAATTACTGCTTTACCGAATTAAGCTAATCTGGCATTTTATATATATAATATTTATATATAAATAATTTAATGTTTTAATAATTTTATAAAAATTTATATTATTATTTTTAGTTATTATTTATATATAATAAAAAAATTAATTAATAATTATAATTATTATAAAAAAAAAGAAATTAAAGAATAAAAAATATAAAATTTAATTAAAATATATATATAAATTAAAATCTAAAGCATAAATTAGTATATAAATATACTAATTAAAAAAAAAAAATAATATAAAATAGCTTATAAATTTAATTATATCTAATTCTTTTATTTATTATAAATCTTTTGATAACTATAATAAAATTTATTTATAAGTATATATATTATTATTTTTATAAAAATATATAAATTTATAATTAGATATTTAAAATAAAAATATAAAGAGAATGTAAATATATTTATATTTTATAAGAATATTTTATAATATTTATAATAAAAAAATTATTATATTATTGTTCAAGGTGTAATTAAACTAAATCTACTTACATCTTTTAATATATAGTTAGGTATAATATATACAGATAAAAAATAAGATAATACAATAAGTATTAAATATCCAAAAGAAATTTGATTAATAAAACTAAAAGGTATTAATTGAGGCATAATAAATAATAGGTTTTTTCATTATTCATCTAAAAATAAATTAATATTTATAATCTTTTATATATTATAATATATAAAGGTAAATAAAATATAATATTAATTATAATATTATATAAAAATAATTAATGTAAAACAATTGAATCTTTAATATAAATAGAAGTTAAAACACATCATACATAAGCTTGTAAAATTGCTACAGCAATTTCTAATCCCATTAATAAAATTAAAAAAACTATAGGTATAATAGATAAAATAGCAAAAATTATATTTATAGATATAATTTGTAAAGTTAAACTACTTATAACATTTAATAATATATGACCTGAAGTTATGTTAGCTCCTAATCTAATTCCTAAACTTAAAGCTCTAGCTATATATGATAATAATTCAATTGCAACTAATAAAGGTACTAATCCTAAAGGTGTACCTGAAGGTAATAATACTGAAAAATAAGATAATTTATATTTTTCAAATCCAATTATTGTCATACCAATTATTAACATAATACTTAAACTTAATGTTAAAGCAAAATGAGCAGTAGGAGAAAAACCATAAGGTATTAATCCTACAAAATTTGTTATTAATATAAAATAAAATAAAGTTAATATTAATGGTAAATATATTTCATTTTGTTTTCCTATTTGAGCTTTAACTAAACCTAATATAGATTTATATATTGATTCAGTTAAAATAGTGATTCTATTACCTACTATATTATTTTCTTTTATTGATATCATTAATATTATATATATTAATACTGCTGATATTATCATATAAAATCCTGAATTAGTTATAGAAAAAGTATAATAAGGAGTATTTAAAGATAATAATATATTAACAATAAATTGTTCTAAAGGATTATATATTAACATATTTTTAATATATTTTTTATTTTTAATAATTAAAAAAATTAAAATAATTTTTTTTATTTTTAATTTTGTATCATTTTACATATACTATTAAAATTATATATTATATTATTTTAAATTAAATATATTTATTTATTTAGTTTATATCTTTATAATTTTTCTAACTAATTTTGTTTATTTAAGTAATACCTTTATAAAAGGTAAATTATAATAAATAAAATTTTATTGTCAAATATATTAGAAAATTTAATAAGTAGCAAATTTTATGTATAAAATAGCATGTTATGTTATTTTTGGTACTAGGTTGTATTAAGATTGGGTTTAAGGTTAGATTTAATTTTAGAGTATGATAATCGTAAACCCGTGTTAAACTAATTTTTAGTCGAATGTAAAAGCTAATAAAGAAAAAAGGTATGATTCAACTAATAGTTGAATCATATATATAATATCTCAAAATATTTAAAATATAAGTAATAAAATTGAACAATAAAAAAAAAATTTTTTTTTATTTAGTTTAACTAATCCTAATCTACTAAGTTTTTTATATATAAATTTAGTAGATTTTAAAGGAAGATATATTTAAAATTGATTTTTATCCATAAAAAGTTTTTAATTATAAGTAAATGTATAAGAATCTTTAGAAACAAAATATCAAATAAATAAAAATTATAAATAAAAAATTAATAAAAAATAATATAATATATAATTTTTATAGTATTATGCTTAAAATGATATTATTATTATATAAAAATAAATATAACCTGTATTATTTTTTAGATAACATTAATAATATATAAATACCATTAATAACTCTATAAATTCTACTAAAATATTTTCATGAAAATTATGAATAATTTTAAGTAATAAAATTATAAAATTTGCTTTATTATAACTTAATTTGATATCTTTAATTATTAAACTTATAGATTTTATAATTTAGGTATGGAAATTAGAGAATTATTTAAAGTATTTTTTAAGATTGAGATTTAAGGTATTAGAACTAAGAAGTATAAAAAAATAAAATATTATAGAAACTTGACTAATAGCAATAAAAGTTAAAATAATTAAAAAAAAAATAAAAAATAGAATAAAATAAATACTTGACCCACTAAAATAAAATTCAATAGTTTATACTGTAATTAATATAAGATAATTCAGAGGAATAATAAAACATTAATAATTTAAATAATTTAGGTATTATAATTGATCTATGATAATAAATATTAAGATTTTAATAAAAATAATAGCCTTTATACAATATATAATAATTCTAATATGTTTATCAAATAATTTAAAATAAGTTTTAGTAGAATTCATATACCCACCTCAAGTAATTAAAAAAAAAATAATTAACATAAAAAAAAAAAATAAAATAGTTTATATTTATGATTACAATAATTATAAATGAACATCATTATTTATTATTTTCTAATTCTGTTAAAATTTTAGATTTTAAAATAATAGTCCGCTTAACCTCCATACATTGTACAGAATTGAAGTTATTACAAATATCATTAAAATTTTTCATGCTATCTGAATAAGCTTGATTAATTTCAGTTTGTGTAAGAGGAGTTTCTAGTTTAGGATAACCCATTTGAGTCAATGTACTATCTAAAAATTTGGATACTATAGGAGTGAATAATGGATTTCTATCTTGTTTTTCTAGTAAATAATCTATTCCTAAGCCTACACCAAATATAGCTGAAGCTGATGCTGTTATTATGCATACTCCTTTGATACAATATACAAATAAAGCAGTAGAAGTAGCACCTATGTTAGCTGGAGAATTTTTGATTATAAGTTTACCTGAAAAAATAATTTTTATAAAATATATAAATTTTATAAAAGAAATAATAAACATAAATCCTAATTGAGTCATAGCCAAATTAAAAATAATTATATGAACCTGAATACCCAGATTCATATAATATAGCCAATAAATAGTCAATATTCCTCCTAGTACTCTTAATATTCTTATTATAGGGATATTTATGAAATTATTTATTTTTTCAGGTAATATCGGCATATTGTAACCTAGTTTTATCCCAGCTTAAATATCAAATATTATTCCCTTTTTACTTCATCAAATAAACATAGGTTTCGATTGAGAATTATTACCAGATGTTGCTATATCTGCTAATGTATTTTCTAAAATAGAAATAAAAGGTAAAATAATTAAGAAATATGAGAAATAGAATAAAGTAGATACTTGACCTATTAAAATAAATGGAGGTTCAGCATGATTAGCACCAATTCACATTAAAATAAAGAAATTACCAATAAATAATCAATAGAAAAATTTCATAAAAGGTCTAAATTGTAAAGATCGGATTCTTGATACGTCGAGAATCGGTAATAAAAATAAAATTAATATAGCAGCAAACATAGCAATAACACCACCTAATTTGTGAGGAATAGATCTTAAAATAGCATAAAAAGGTAAAAAATATCATTCAGGTACTCAATAAGAAAAACAAATAATATTAAATTTTTCGCAGTAACTTTCGTTACTGATTAGACTATGTCATTAATCCATTTCATACGAAATGCAAATTAAAGGGCGCTCGTGGATAGATTATTATTAGCATTATTCACTATCTAGTCGTTGAACGTTTATATAACTATTAAAATGCTGTTATATACTTCGCTGCAAGTTAGCATAGTATATAATACTTTAGCTTTCTTGAAAATAATCAAAGATTATTCGGAGTTTATTACTCCCAATTCACCCTTTTTTCCTAGATAATTTATAATCTAGGCGACGGTACCATATATAATATGTAGGTAATTAAAATTGGATATTACCATTTATTTAATCTGTTTTAGATAGTTGTAGTGGATTATTTTTTAATCATAAATTTATTTGATTTTCTTTATATTCTATAGCAGCTTGTAGTGCCATAGCACTTGAATTATTATAAGTTTTAAAATAAAAATATTTTCTTCGGGGTTTAATTTTAAATAAAACTGGTAATATAACACACCAAGATGTATTTTTAGATAAATTTATATATGATTGATTAGATAAAGATTTATTATTGGTAGATTTTAATAGAATATTCGTTCAATATGTTAAAGGTTTTTCAAAATCTATATTTATAGAATAATAATAATTTAATAACATATATTGAATAGGTTTTATATATAATAGACTAGTATGTAAATATTTTAAAGAATTTTTAATATTATTAAATCTGTACTTTTTAAAAAATAGAAAATAATTAAAATTATCAATCATTTCTAATAAAGGAA